AAATGTCTAGGGTGACATTTAATACTTGGGTTTTTCCCATCATAAAGGTGTTAGAATTAGATGCTTGTTGTATGGAGACTAAACTGTAGGGTCACAAGGACAGAAGCAAGCCATTCTTGGAGACATTCCCTCCCCTTCCCCAATTAGTACCCTACATTAGAAAAAGACTGAAATATTTTTCTAATTCATGCAAGGACCAAAGAACCGAGAGAAAAACTCTAGACTAAGTACTACACACTTCATTTTCCTACATCTTGATGACTTCCTGCCATTACGTTTTGATACCTTTTTGCAGGTTGGGATATTTGGTTTGCTCTAAAGCACATTGATATTTAGATGACAAAAGATAACAGAAGGTCCATTGTTTTAGTTTAACAGACATTTATTCCTTTAGTTGAACAACCTCTACACACAAACAGATGGTTTGAGATTTGAGTGGAAAGGAATTTAGGTCTTAAAGAGGTTTTATGAGTTTGCTACATGTTTTCTGGAAATCATTTAACCAAGCCTTCTAAGACCTATGAAGAAAATAAGAAAAATTGGTTAAAAAAGGAAACCAGCAATTAGGATTTTAGGACCAAACTACCTATTAAGTCAGCAAACCCAGAATTGGAAATTGGAGCCAATTCCTCTTCTTTATTTCCTACACGCTCAGATTCACCCTGGGAAACAGAAGCCTAGTCTATTTTAAGACAAGAGGCAAACATAATGTGGTGGTATGCTTAACATTAAGGTGAGCACAATTGAAGGCCTGGAAAGTTTGTGGAATGGTAAGGATTTTGAGGGTAGTTTGAGCAGGGATGAGAAAAAATAACTGTAGACAATGCCCCAGGTTAGACTGGAAACCTTAAACTTGTACTGACACCAATACATGACTACTCTCAGTAACATTATAGGAATAATGGATATAGTGGATTGGCCCAAGATGACTTATAAGACTAAATGAACTAAGCACAAGTACCCTTAAAATCAACCACATTTTCCCCCTTAACGTGGCTATTGGGTTCATAATAGTTATAACACAACACACCTTAAAGTTAATTCCCCTTCTCATTTGTTCAATTTCCATCAGTTTCAATACACACCAATGTAATTACTATTACTACTTTGCAGGAAATTCAGTCAATGGGATTGAATCAGGGCTTCTAGCATTTACGTGAAAGTGAATGGTACTACAGAGGCCAAGTCAGTTTTGTTTAGGTAAACTAGAATGTTTAATTTTAAGAGAACCCTCTTTCAACAGAATCATTCAATTCTCCTAAAAGATGGTGGCATCCTTTTAAACTTTTCTTCTTTCAGAAGCAGCAGTTATACTGGGTTAATTTAAAAAATGTGAACCCCCCTACTTAACTTTCATTTTTCTGCACAGGACCATTAGAATGGATTAGGTTATCTTTCACATTTCCAAGCAAAATTCAAACTCCAAAAAACAGCCCCTTGAGAGTAAACAAGCAGAGAGCATTGCATTACCCCAATAAAGCTGTAGGTTTCATCACATGCACCAACAAATCTACTGGCTAGTTTTGCACTCCTTCACAGAATGTTACACCTATACCAAACACTGACATAGGAAACTCCCTAATAAGATAAAGCAGCGATTTTCAATCAGTATACTGTGGCACACTGGTGGGACACAATTTTTAAAACATGCAATACCTGACTAGTCAGGGGCACTAACCTCTAGCCCCCTTAGATTGTCAAGTTAAAAAAGAATGGATCAAAATACCTATTTTTGGTCAGATTGGCAAAATATTACTTTTTGGTGTGCTGCAGAATTTTAATAGTTTATGTGTGCCATGAGATGAAAACGGTTGAAAATCACTGACATAAAGCCAAGACAAAAGCGTCTATCTTATGAGTAATGAGACACACCATCACTTATAGTCTTCAAACATTATTGCACTTTAACTTTTATGTGACAATGCATTCATAAGACAATCTGCAGACTAGTTTTAACAAATCAAAGAACACTTTTAAGCAGACATGACTGTCCTAAATTGTTTATTAGGTAAGGATTTTACAAACATTACTTATATTAGCGGTAACGGTGGAGCTGGAGAGTATTGCGCCTTCTCCAAGCTGCACGGCGAGAACCACCAATAGTGTGGTGGAACTTGTGGCCCTTCCCAAGGCCACGGCTCTTGCGGCCCGCAGATGTCAGCCCTCGCATCTCCCTGTGCTTGTGGACTGGTTTGGTGATCCACTGGGTGTCAGGATTTCTTCTGATAGCTTTATGGAATGGATCAATGAGAATAACCTCAAAGAATTTGTACGTGGAATCTTCACCAACCCAGTAAGAATTCAGGACTCTCAGAGCCCCACAGTGGCGTCCAGCTCGCTCCTAGAAGAGGAAAAAGGGTCAGCCTCCCACATTTCCCACAGTAGCAAATTCGGAACCAAGAATTCTCTTTAGTTCACTAGACAAGCGACTACGGCACCTAACCATAAGTATAAAAAGGTAAACTTACTATTCCCTATTATTAGCCCCTATCTAATGAATGGGGTTTGTGAATGCCTTTAAGGAATGAATAATATCTGGCTAACAATATTTAAGATTCTGGAACTTACCTTTTTTCTAATACAATAGAGGGGGGAGGATAAGCAAACTTCTTACAAAAATCTTAACATTTAGTGTATTTTAGGCACTGCAGGCCGTAATTATGTCTTGCATAGCTTTGCCTTTTTACTGTTCTTCAAAAGCTTAGGTTCCACAGGTTCACACTAATCATAAAACACTTTCTGACATATATGAGCAAAACCAAGTTAGTAACAGACTTTTTTTTATAAAGTCTTTTCTTTGACAGAAATTCGACCAATGTTAATAGTAAAACTCACAAACCCCACATCTAAACACAAAGGGCTCACCTAGGCACAAGTTAGCTATCAGAAAAGTTGCACAAACCTGTCTACACCACTTCCGGGAGGTAACCAATACAACTGCTTCTCAAAGACCACTCACCTCGGCAACAGACTGAAGACTTCGCGCAAACTTCAGCTGGTTAACGCCGTGATGGACAGGCTTGCCGTAGGTGGCACCCTTAGGAACAGGGCGCTTGCGGCCACCGCGGCGCACACGAATCCGATATATGACGTAACCTATAAACAAAAAATCACGGTGATTTCATAAAAACCACAGAGTGCAAGGCTCAAGGACATGTCACTTTTGCGCCTACATCAAATATATTCAGACCGCCGAAACCGGTTTGGCTCAGTGGATAGAGCGTCGGCCTGCGGACTGAGGGGTCCCAGGTTCGATTCCGGTCAAGGGCATGTACCTGGGCTGCGGGCACATCCCCAGTGGGAGATGTGCAGGAGGCGGCTGATCGATGTTTCCCTCCCATCGATGTTTCTAACTCTCTATCTCTCTCCCTTCCTCTCTGTGTAAAAAAAAAAAAAAAAAAAAAAAAAAAAATCAATAAAATATATTTTAAAAAATATATATATATATATTCAGACCATAAGTCAAATACTACAGACCTAGCGATGGTAAAATGAACACCAGTTTTGAGATTCACTTTTAAAAAGAACACAAAACGGTTATTTTTCAAGTCCTTTGTTAACGAGAGAGAGAGAGAGAGAGAGAGAGAGAGAGAGAGAGAGAGATTAACTTCTCATTCTCACTCTACTACACCGTTATTTTGCTTTAATCCAGACTCATACAAATTTGTCATCTACAACACACTTGCCAGAGCAGCTAGACAACTATTTACTGGTCCACAACCTCAATGTGTTGACGGCTGAGGACAGTCGCTGCCAAAGATCTACGTGAAGGAAGACTTCGGGGCAAGAGCTGCTCTTCCTGCTCACCAGCCCCTAGCCTTTCCCGGGGACACAATTGTGCCCACGCACCCAGGCAGGGCGCTCTCACCTTGCTTGGCCTTGTAGCCCAGCCTGCGCGCTTTGTCCGGCCGGGTGGGGCGGGGCGCCCTGTGGAGCGCCGAGAGCTGGCGGTACTGCCAGCAGCGCACGCGGAGAAGGAAGCGCATTACATCCGACTGCTTCTTCCTCCATAGCTCCTGGATGTACTTGTAAGCGCCCATCTTGGTTTACCTTTGAGATAACACCGGGCATTAAAGGCTGCGTACGTCCATCTTAGCTCCCCACCAGCCACACGGCAACCACTGCGGATGAAAATGGCTCTGCACACACTGCAGCGCGCAGCTAGCCCGACCCCCGCCGCTGCGTCCATGGGAAGCGGCGCTCAGTCACCGCTGCGACCCCAGAGAGGGCAACGCAGCAAGGCCCTCGGCGCATTTCTTTTTCTTTTTTTTCTGCATGAATGAATGGCGCAAGACTTAAGCCCTGAAGGGGCGGGTCACTGCGGCAGGCGGCATCCCCAAGGGCCCGGCCCCGTCTGCAGAGACCTCGCCGACAATACAGGGGAATGTTGCCGCCGCCAAAAGGTTAACTCCCTACGAAAAAGCATTTACTCTACCCAACCGACCGACTCGCCCCAATAAGCCCTGGCCCTGCCTCCTATTCCTCTGCCTCACGCCTCCCTTTCCTTCACGCTCTGGGCCCAGCTCGAATTCGCGCCGCCATCACACCATCCCCCAGCCCGCCCCGGCGGCCGCCTCTCCGTCACCCCGTTGCCCCGCATCCTGATCAAACTCACGCCGCACAGGAGACGGGAGGAGCTCTGAGGACGCAGGGTCCCCGAGCCTGGATGGCCCGGGCAGAGGGAGATGAGCGGCGGATGAAATAGCGTATGTCTCCAACACGGCTTACCTGATGGCTGCGGCCAGACGGAAAGGAAGAGCCTCTCTCCCACAATCCTCTCTGGGCTCCTCCCCCACTTCAGCGAAACTCTTTCCGGTAGGAAGCTGCGGCCTCCCAGAGCCTCATGGGACATGTAGTTCCGGCAGAGCGCCGGTGGGCGGAGTTCCGCCGGGAGGGGGCGCAGCCTTCCTCATTGTCCCGCCCCTGCTCCTCTAGGAGACAGACCTTGCGGAGGCAGCGGCTGGCGTTCCAGACCCGCTGTGCGGGAGGAGGCGAGCTGGGGGCGGGGCTCCGGTAGCTGAAACTTGCGGGGGAGCCGGGCTGCCAACACGCCGCGATCCGCGGGGTCTGCGGAGGGCACAGGTCTGTGTCACTTTGTGTACCGGTACGTCGCTTCGCGCACCGCAGGCTCCTCGCTTGAGGTGTCGCTGCGGGAAACGCTGTCCCCTTCCGACCCCAGGACGGGCGCAGGGGTCTGGGGCCCCGGGGTGCTCTGACCGACCCCCGCGACGCTGTCCCCGCCGCCAAATAAGTCGCTCCTGGCCCAGGGGCTTCGCGGGTCGGGGTCCGCGGGCCAATCCGGCTTTAGCCCCCGCAGGGCCAGTGACGAGGGGTTTTGCCCCGAAATCGGTCCGGGGGAGGGAGAGTGCGTTTCCATTCCCGGGTCTTTCCTGCGCGAGGATTTGGTTCCAGTATTGCGACGTCAGAACCGCAATTTTTTAGAAAAACGCAATATTTATTTGCCGAGACCTGGTTGGCAGGTGCGCGTGTTTAGGGAAAAAATGCTGGCTTTTTGTGCTGCGTTCTTTATGTAAGAAAAGGTTTCCTCGCTTTTTTAGCGTCTCCAGAGTATTTTAATACAACGGTGTGGTTTAACTCTACAAGTTCTAAGTTTCAATGTGGCCCACATTTAAGAGAATCCTATTTACCTTCTAAATCATTAGAGGTTTTGGTTATTTCGCCCCTATTTCCTATATTACTTTCCTTTTTTTTTTTAAAAAAAAAAAAAAAAAGAAAAGTCAGGCTTACCATTCATTGCACGAGCCCTCACATGGCCCATTGATTCCATTAACAGATAGGTATGAAGCGCCTGACAGGTGCCGGGCAGCGTCCCACTCGCTGGGGGTGCAGCCTGGTCAGGGCTTCCTGGGAAACGGGCCACAAACATGGTCAGATGTCATCTCGGATGGTCAGTGCTACCGACGAACGGCGAGGGATGTCAGAGAGGGGGAGTGTTGAGGCGGCAGTTTTGGATGGAACGTTCGCGGCGAGTGAGTGAGAAGCCAGGGTGGAGAGGAGACCTGGGGGAGTGGAGAGTGGAGGAGATGTGGGGACCAGCGCCGCGGCTGGTGTGCCTGGATGAGTGCGGGAGCAGCGCGGAGGCAGTGTGGCTGCAACCAGCCATACACAGCAGACCAGGAGATGAGAGGCAGGGGAAGGTTATGAGGACATGGGGTTTCCAACCTGCGCAAGATTGGCAACCACTGGGAGATTTTGAGCAGAAGGATAACTTTATGTGGCTTACCCACACACACACACACATATATATGTAGTAGGAAACAAAAAATAAATTTATTTATTGAGGGCCACAAGATGCAAGCGATATAAAAGTCAAAAGCTTATTTGGGCCCAGCCCGTGTGGCTCAGTGGTTGATCACGGCTCAATTCCAGTCCGGGTACATGCCTGGGTTGGGGGCTCCATCCCCAGTGTGGGGTGTGCAGGAGGCAGCTGATCAATGATTCTCTGGCATCATTGTTGTTTCTTTCTCTCTCCCACTCTCTCTTCCTCTTTGAAATCAATAAAAAAAATATATTTTTATAAAGTTTGTTTGGCTTTAATTGGTTTTTCTTGTCAAATGGGGGTAGCTTACACATTTTTTAAGGATCATTTGGATTGTAGTTTTGAGGCTAAAGGGGAAGGGGAAAGTGGAAGCAGGCAGACTAGTAAGGAGGTGGTATTAGTTTCCTGTTGCTGCTGTAACAAATTATAGCAAATTTACTGGCTTGAAACAACACAAATTTATTGTCTTCTTGTTCTGAAGATCAGAAATCTCATTAGGCTAAAATCAAGTTGTCAGTAGGGCTGTGTTCCTCTTAGAGGCATGAGGGGAAATCCCATTTCCTTGCCTTCCCCAGCTTCTAGAGCCACTGGTATTTGTTGGCTCCTGACCCCTTTCTTCATTTTCAAAGATAGCAGTACAGTATCTTAAAATCACCATGTCTTCCTTGGGTCCCTTATAAAGACAGTTGTGCTTACATTGGGTCCACCCAGATAATCCAGGATGATCTCCCCACTGCAGTGGTCATAGTTTAACCAAAATACCTTTTCTTGTATCAAGTAAAATACTCCCAGGTTTGGGGGTTTATGACATGAGTGTCTTTAAGACCAGGTGTGGGAAGTTGGCCCCTCAGACTCCTTCGTTAGTGATGGAAAGTGGTAAATGGTTCAGCCTGGATGTTTCAACCGTGTAAAGCAATAGTTCTCAACCTTGGCTGCACATTAGAATCACCTGGGAGTCTTTTTAAAATCCTGATTTCTGGGCTTCACCCCATAACAAAGAAACAGAATTTCCAGGGGATGAGGCCCAGAAATCAAGATTTTAAAAAGATTCCCAGGTGATTCTAATGTGCAGCCAAGGTTGAGAACCACTGGTGCAGAGGATTTACTGATGGATCAGAAGTGGGGTATGAGAAAATGAGTCAAGGTTGATGACTGCAGACAGAGTTGGATGAATCATTTGGAAAGGAGAGTCTGGCGATGTGAATAACCACTGCTAATCTCTTTTTAAAAAAAATATATTTTATTGATTTTTTACAGAGAGAAAGGGAGAGGGATAGAGGGTTAGAAACATTGATGAGAGAGAAACACTGATCAGCTGCCTCCTGCACACTTCCCACTGGGGATGTGCCCGCAACCAAGGTACATGCCCTTGACCGGAATCGAACCTGGGACTCTTCAGTCCACAGGCCGACGCTCTAAGCCAAACTGGTCAGGGCCACTGCTAATTTCTTAATTAGATCTTGCAGTTTTTAATTTGTAGTTTCTCTGTTAGTTTTGCAAAATTTGGATTGGTATTTCCAATTGATTTTGAGATTCCCGAGGGTAAGGATCATTTCTGGGTTTGTTTGTTTCTAATGCCTGGAACTATGGTAAGCCCTCAGTAAATATTTATTCAATGAATAAAAGAATGGTAAGCTGGAATCTGCTTAGGATATTACGTGCAGTACTGTTTGCAAAACCCTTTTAATGTATGTAATGTGCTCATGAATGGATAGTAAAAGTATTGCACACAGTACGTGATGTTTTCATAAAAAAATACACAGTGTCGCCCTAACCGGTTTGGCTCAGTGGGTAGAGCGTCGGCCTGCAGACTCAGGGGTCCCAGGTTCGATTCTGGTCAAGGGCATGCACCTTGGTTGCGGGCACATCCCCAGTAGGGGGTGTGCAGGAGGCAGCTGATCGATGTTTCTCTCATCCATGTTTCTAACTCTCTATCCCTCTCCCTTCCTCTCTGTAAAAACTCAATAAAATATATTAAAAAATATTTTTAAAAAAATAAAGTAAAATCAGTAAGTATGTCCTCGAGTGAGAATTAAAGAAATTATTTTTCTTGGAAAAAAATTATTTTTCCTGATAGCTGATTAGTGTTGATGTGGGTCATAAAAATTACAGAATTTGAGAAAATAAAATAGGGTTTGGAAGGGTATACCTTATTCTATATATCTTTTTTTTTTTTAAATATGTTTTATTGATTTTTTACAGAGAGGAAGGGAGAGGGATAGAGAGTTAGAAACATCGATGAGAGAGAAACATCGATCAGCTGCCTCTTGCACACCCCCTACTGGGGATGTGCCCGCAACCAAGGTACGTGCCCGCAACCAAGGTACATGCCCTTGACCGGAATCGAACCTGAGACCCTTGAGTCTGCAGGCTGACGCTCTATCCACTGAGCCAAACCGGTTAGGGCTATATATCTTTTTTTAAATTTGAAATCCCCCCTCTGTATGTATTACTTACTAAATTTAAACATAGAAAAAGAAAAGGTTGATTTCAGTGTATACAGTTTTAAGGATATTCTGTTCTCTTTGCAGTGCTATCCTGAGACAAGATGGGAAAGGGCTGCAAAGTCGTGGTTTGTGGCTTGCTGTCTGTGGGGAAAACAGCAATTTTGGAGCAGCTCCTTTATGGGAATCATACTATTGGTAAGATTATTTTTCTGTAGTTCCTCTGTAGGTTCTGGGAACTGCTAGGGGTTTTGTTGGTCATAATAACCTAAAGATGGGGGACAGACACAAGAGTGAAATCCAGGGGGACCAGAAGGATCATAGAAGTGAACTGACGTTGAGAGAGGAAATAATAGGGGAGAGAAAAAAAAAAACACATCTTTTATGATAGTGAAATTCAAGAGTGCTTGCTGAAAGTTATACCTTTTATATATGTAGTTTCCTGTGTATTTACATAATGAATAGTGGTTTTGGAGTCATAGAAGCACTGACGTAAGAATACACTGAATGATCTTATTCTATTTCAAACATGACTTTCCAATACAGCTATATAGATTTTCAAAATGCAAGAAACAGCTGTTGGCTGCAGTATGACCTACTTTTGTGAATTGGATTATCTCATTCATTGAGCTGCGTCATGATTAAATACTCGCTATGTGAAACAGGCTGTGATGCAGTCTTGTAAGAATACAGAGGTGAAGAAGACAGCATCTTTGGCTTTAAGGCGATCAAACATTGCAAATTGGAATTAAATGAGGTTTGTGTTGGAGAGATCATAGAATCATAGATCTTTGAAGTATTTATCTCTGGCAAGTAGCTTAGTGCAGTGGTTGCCAACCTCTCAGACCTCACTGATCACCAGTGGTCCCATGGACCACCGGTTGCCAACCGCTGGCTTAGAGCACATTTCTATCTTACTTTTAATAACTATTTTGATGAGCTTTGCTTCTCTTCCACTGTCTCAAAATATTTAGCAATTTTGGTTAAATCCATATTCGGCTTTTATTATGGTGGCTGTGCTAGCGGTTCTCAACTTTTATGGTTTCTGAATCCCTCCTACCACAGATGCTGCACTATTCTTAATTTTTCACCTCCAGATTCTAATTTTTGGCTGTGCAAAAAAACCAAATTATGCCCAGAGGGAAACAAAAGAACTCCTTTACCTTCCTAAAACTCCAAACAGCTTTTGTTTATATAGGCTATATTTTTACCGTATTAGAAATTAAAACAGAAATTTAAAAAGTACTTATTTATTACTTAAAATAATAATAAACATCACATACCAAGATAACACGTTTATGAAAAATTATGTCTTCAAAATAATTTAGTGAGAAGAGCACCAATTTACGTTTTTGAAAATCTAATGTCTAGCTGGGTATCTACTTCCTCTGTGTTCATTCAGTCTGTTGTGATATGCTGCTTTAGGTTAAATTTATGAAGAAAATGTGGCCCTTTTCAGTATGGAAACGTGTGTTCTTCATGTCTGAATTGTTTTGTTGATCCTTTTCCCTTCTCTGTGTTCTCTATGCTGGATCTTCTAGACTAGTGAACTAATTTTTTAATTTCTTTACTGATTTCTTTCTCTCAATATTTTGTTCCACTTTTTGAGAGTTTTCCATATCTTTATTTTCCAGTCCTTGTGTTGAGTTTTCACTTCTTCGTATCCTGTTCTTATTTTATGGATGTATTGTCATATTTCTTTGAGTATAATATTGGGTAATTTTTTTTTTGGTAAGTTTTCTTTTTCCTGCATTCTTTTTTCTATAAGGCGTCTTTTCTGGTTTTGTTCTCCCTTTTACTCAAGCATCTGGTAATCCAAGTTGTCTCCTCATAAATAAGAATGGAGGATTAAAACATTAATTAAAAACTGTAAGCATGTGGATAGGATTTATGACTTTGAGCTTCGTAAGGTGACCTGGGTGGGGCATTTTGGGGGGAATCCTAAATGTTACCATATTTAGTATTTTATCTTTTTCACTGGCCAGATTCTCCTAATTCCTCAGCCTACAGGGAGTTATAGACTAGTTGAATAGACTAGTTGAAGAGACAAACCTGCACAAATGAAGCAAGGTAGGAATGCATTTTACAAGGATCACCCAGGCAAGAAAGGGACTGAAATTGGGACATCAATGATGAATTCATTCATTCAGCAAACATTTACTAAGGACTTCCTATGTCTGTAAGTCAATTTGTTAGTCCTCAGAGCTATCAAGATAGGTTAGCTACAGGCCTGGCTCCCAAGGAGCTTACACTCCAGCCTTGAAGGGGACCGATATGGGAAGGTGTAAGTATTAAATGGTGTTACTTGTAAAAGGCACAGTAGGAGCAGAGAGGAGGGAAGGGGATGATCAGGAGAGGATCCATGGAGCTGACATTTGAGCAGTCTAGAAAGGATACAAGGTGTTTATTGAACTGTTGCAGCAGTTCAGGTGCCAACACACCAGTGGGCATGGAAGGTGGCAATGTATTGAGCATGTGCTTTAGCAGTAAAGTGCCTAATGCATGATAACTTGCACCCACGTTTTCCTTGTTTAAAGAGAACTCTAAAGACTGCCCAGGTGGATGGTGATCCAGGGGAGAAAGCTAGATGGAGAAACAGGTATGGAGAAAAAGAACAAGTTTTGTTAGTTTGGAGTACTTGCAGGACATTCACATAAAAGTGCCCAATAGGTGCTTGGGAATGAAAGCCTGGTGCTCAGGCCCAGACTGGACATATAACATTTTAAAAAATATATTTTTATTGATTTCAGAAAGGAAGGGAGAAGGAGAGAGAGAAACATCAATGATGAGAACTATTGATTGGCTGCCTCCTGCACTCCCCCTACTGGGGATTAAGCCCGAAACCCAGGCATATGCTCCGATCAGGAATCGAACCTGTGACCACCTGGTTCATAGGTCGATGTTCAACCACTGAGCCACACTGGCCAGGTTATAAATTTTTGAGTCCCATAAACAGACCTTGGAAATAGAGGAAGTTGCATAGAAAAAAAAAGTAGCAAATTTACCTCAGGCCCTGTCCTTGGCTCTGATGGAGATGAAAATGGGACCACTCAGTTACTGAAGCTACTTTAAAAACCAGCCTTTAACCTTCCAATTTAGGTATTCAGATCTTTGACTCTTCTTAGGGTAACTTTTTTTTTTTTAAATATATTTTATTGATTTTTTACAGAGAGGAAGGGAGAGAGACAGAGAGTTAGAAACATCAATCAGCCGCCTCCTGCACACCTCCTACTGGGGATGTGCCCGCAACCAAGGTACATGCCCTTGACCGGAATCGAACCTGGGACCTTTCAGTCCGCAGGCCGACGCTCTATCCACCGAGCCAAACCGGTTTCGGCGTCTTATGGTAACTTTTAAAAAATGTGTAATATTAAATCATTAATAAAATTTTTTTCTATACAGAAGACGTGTTTTTAAAAAGCATGTTGGTCATTTACTACAACAACTACCTTTCATTTTAAAGAAGTTAGTAATGGAAATATGTTTCTTACATGTAGTCAATAGGGAACCTAGAAAGCCAACAACTTCTAAAGGACAAGAAAATACTCAACAGTTGGTACAGTGATTCAGCATTGGTACCCATGAGAGTGATTCCTTTTTCATCCCAGGAATAGAAGACTGTGAAACAATGGAAGATGTGTACATGGCTTCAGTGGAAACGGATCGGGGAGTAAAGGAACAGTTACATCTTTATGACACCAGAGGCCTGCAGGAGGGCGTGGACCTGCCGAAGCACTATTTTTCATTTGCCGATGGCTTTGTCCTAGTGTACAGTGTGAATAATCTTGAATCCTTTCAAAGAGTGGAGCTGCTGAAGAAAGAAATTGATAAGTTCAAAGATAAAAAAGAGGTAAGTGGATATGTGAAAAATGCCAACTATGAATCATAATACTATTTAAATTGCAGCATGGAATTTGGGGCAGTTAAAATATTTTTAGAGACATTGTATTCACAGTATCTATAATGTTGTGTTGTTTTTATTTTTCCTTAGCCCAGGAAATACAGGACTGACTGAGTTCAGTCAGGGCCAGCATTTGCCCTTCTGTCTCTGCTTGTTTTCATGTATAAACTGAATTTTAGGGACTCCGTATCTCAAGTTCCGTTTAGGTAGTTCACTTCATATTGTGTGGCAGCACTGTTTCCTAGGGCTCTTTCTTGTCTCCTAGGCTAAATAGGAATCTTGTCTTCAGCCTTGCAAAAAAAAATTCTTTTTAACTTAATGATTGGATTCTACCCATTTGACACTTAAAAAAATAAGATCCTTACCATAGTCCATAAAGTCTTACATGACTTGGCCCATGCCTCTCCTTTTCATCTTATCTTCATCATTCTGTTCCTTTGTCACCGTACTCCACTGACACTGGTCCACTTTCTGTTTTTCCACCATGATCATTTTGTTCCCCTATTAAGTCCTTCTCAGTTTCTGGTTCCCATCCCTGGAACTCTCTTATCGCAGATCTCTTTCCAGATCTTCACATGGCTGACTCCTCACCACCTAGGAGTACCTCCTATGATGTAGTGGTTAACAGTGCTGACTAGATGTTCTTAACCTAGATTTTTACATTTTACCCTATGTTAAACTTTTTATTTTGAGATAATTGTAGATTCACATGCAGTTTTAAGAAATAATAGAGATCTTTAGCTGGATTCCCCCCCAATATTAACAACATGCAAAACTGTAGTCCAGTTTCACAACCAAGATACTGACATTTATGCAGTCAAGATACAGAACAATTCCATCACCAAAAGGATTCCTTATTTTACCCTTTTATAGCCACCCCCTCTTTGTCCCTGACAAACACTAATCTGTTCTCAATTTCTCTAACCTTGTCATTTTAAGAGTGTAACATAAGTGGAATCATACAGCATGTAAACTCTTGGCTTTTTTCACTCAGCATAATTCTCTGGAAAATTATCCAGTTACTACACATATCAGTAGTTCATTCCTTTTTATTGCCGAGTGGCATTCCATGGTACATATGTACCAAAGTTTAACCATTGACCTGCTGAAGGACATCTGGATTGACATTTATTTTTATTATTTTGAATACGTATTTACTTTGTGAATAGATAACATCAATGATGAGAGAATCATCAATTGGTTACCTCCTGCCCACAACCTGAGCTTGTGCTCTGACCAAGAATCAACCAGCAACCTTTTGATGCGTGGCCTACGCCCAATCAACTGTGCCACAGCAGCCAGGGCTGGCTTTTGCCAATTTTTAAGGCTATTGGGGTGGGGACATGGTCAGGCACAGAAGGCTTTAGCTACTTGTGTTTTTAAAAGTGCCCCTTTTCCAGTTTTTCCCCCTTTGCTTCCTCAGCCTTAGGTAGTTACAGGCTGTTTGTATTTCTGATTTACCAGTAGGAGAGCCAAGACTTTTATTTTTTTTAATTTCTATCAGACTTTATGTTTTTATTGATTTTTAGAGAGAGAGGAAGGGAGAGGGAGAAGGGAGATATAGAAACATTAATGAGAGACAAACATTGATAGGCTGCCTCCTGCACGCCCCCTACTGGGAATTGAACCAGCGACCTCTTGATGCTTGGGTCGAAGCTCAACCAGTGTGCCACACCAGCCGGGCATCCTGATTTATTTTTTATTTTTATTTTTTTTATTACAGTATCTGCAAATATCTAAAGGTAAATAGGAAGAGGTCTAAGTGGATTTTGATTTTTGTTCTAATTTCTGTTCTTCCATCCTGTTAAGGGAGTCCTAATGGCTAATTATATGAATATGAGAGTTCTCTAAACATTTTTCTATTTAGAAGTTTTCCTAGTTCAAGGTATCCATCATCTGGCCAATGACAGTAGGATTTTATTTATTTATTTATTTTTTATTTATTTATTTTTTTAAATATATTTTATTGATTTTTTTACAGAGAGGAAGGGAGAGAGATAGAGAGTCAGAAACATCGATGAGAGAGAAACATCGATCAGCCGCCTCCTGCACATCCCCCACTGGGGATGTGCCGGCAACCCAGGTACATGCCCTTGACCGGAATCGAACCCGGGACCTTTCAGTCCGCAGGCCGACGCTCTATCCACTGAGCCAAACCGGTTTTGGCTTTTTTTTTTTTTTTTTTAAAGACAGTAGGATTTTAATATCGACTCAAACACTAAGCCTTTTATGGCGTAACCAAGGAAGCAAAAGGTTCCATAAAGGGCACAAAAGATACAGCCCTCACTGATCCAACAGTTTATTTGCAGAGTTAGCCTAAGAAAGAAGGGAAGCCCTGTCTTTCACCAGCTGTTCTAAACCACAGGAAGTCACAAGCTTCCCCCCCTTTTGAACAAATAAGTTTTAAGATTCCCTAAGCACGGGTCCAGAGCCCGTTCGGCTGCTCACCAGATGCCTAAGCGTCATTCAGCTGGTGAAGATAATAGAACCTCTCTGGAAGGAACAGGATTCCTAGAAAACAAGAGTACTCAAACCAAGTTTGACCAGAGTCACATTTGCCCAGGAAACGCATTTCACACATATTTTCTCTCGCCAATCTAAATGTAGAAGAGAGAAAAAGGACTCTTACTGCTTCTAACTTTCATCGAAGCCCACAAACACGAGATCAGAGGCTGACAGGGTAAAATGCTTACCATTTTCAGCCAGCTGTGGTCAGATGTCCATTATCCCTTAGTTGCAGCAGTCTAAGGAATAAGCAGTATTCCAGCCAGTGAATTCTCCTGGCTGGCTCTCCAAAACTGGGTGTGTGTGTGTGGGGGGGTGCTCTAAAACAACTTTTCCTCCTCCACCTCCTAAATTCTTCTAGCTGGGCTAACAATCAAATTAGCAGAGACAGATTAACAGGAGAAAAATCTAATTTTTAATACATGAACCCAGGGAATTCACATATGCTTGAAAATTCCAAAGACAGTGAGGCAGCATTGGGTACATACTACATTTTGGTCAAAGGAGGAGGAAAACAGGATCTTAGATGTGAAAAGTGAGAGTGCTGATGTACAGGTAGCTGAGGAAGAGTGGAACACATGGCAGGCAAAACCTCAGGAGGCAACTCGGAAACAATGGGCCCCGGGGTATCTAGCTAACAGGCTCCTGCTTGGAGGCTTCCTGTCTGTGGTGGTTATGCCGCAGTCCCCTTCCTGAGGCAGGCTTTGCCATCTGAATCTCTTAGACAGGAGGGAGTCAAAAGTTCTTTCTGAGTTTTGTTTCAGAAGAATTGAGTTTAAAATCACTATTTCAAAAGGCAAAACTTTTGGTCCCCCTCATTTTCAATGCAAGGTCTTTTCACCTCCTTTGTGAAATTTATACCTAGGTATATTATTCTTTTTGTTGCAATTGTAAATGGAATTTTCTTCATTTCTCTTTTAAATAGTTTGTTGTCCCCTAGCCGGTTTGGCTCAGTGGATAAAGTGCAGGCCTGTGGACTTAAGAGTCCTGGGTGATTCTGGTCAAGGGCATATACGTATATGCCCAGGTTTTGGGCTTGATCCCCAGTTGGGGGGTGGGGGGGAGCATGCAGGAGACAGCCGATCAATGATTCTCTCTCATCATTGATATTTCTCTCTCTCCCTTCCTCTCTGAAATCAATAAAAATAATATTTTAAAAAAAGATTGTTATTAACGTATAGAGATATTTTTGTATATTGATTTTTATCCTGCAACTTTATTGTTTATTTCTAATAGTTGTTGGTGGTCTTTAGAGTTTTCTATATATAAAATAATGTCACCCACAAATAGTGAGTTTTACTTTTTCTTTTCCCCATTGATTTTTAGAGAGAGTGAAAGGGAGGGAAAGAAACTTTGATGTGAGAGACACATCAACTGATTGCCTCCCCCACTGACTCCAACTGGGGCCAAGGATCAAACCAGCAACTGAAGTACATGCCCTTGACCAGGGAATTGAACCCGACCCACAGTGCTTCAGTCTGTGGGCCAGCACTCTAATCACTGAGCCAAACTGGCCAGGGCAGTGAGTTTTACTTTTTCCCCCAATTTGGATGCCTTTTATTTATTTTTCTTGCCTAATTGCTCTGGCTAGGACTTCCTACAATGAATAATCATTTGCATTTACTATTTTGTACATTTTAGCGTATAATTGAAGATCAAGCAGCAGGGGTTCTTGAAGCAAAGAGTAAATATAATGCCTTCCATAGGAATGGTATGAAAAAGCCTGTGTCTCCATCCTGGACAACCATGTATGATTAAACTATTGGGTTTTGTGACTCTTCTGGGTGAGAATGGTAATTTAGTAGTTTCATTTCCCTTAATATGAATGAGGTTGCGCATCTTTGGGCTTGTTTTAAAATGATTACTTTGGCTGTTGTCAACAGACAGGGACAAGGTGAATAGCAAGGAGCTTAGCTAAAAGCTACAGCCCTGGAGCACTTGGACATTGACCCCTTTGGAGAATTGAAGAGAAACCAGCAACGGAATCTAAGTGGCCAGTGAGGTCGGAGGAAATCCAAGAGAGAAGGGTGTCCCAGAAGGCAAGGAAGACGTAGGGCACTTTAGAAAGTAAGGAGTAATCACACTGGGGGAAAAAAAGGAGACATATGTACTACTATTTGTAATACTTTAAACAAGAAAATAAAAAAAAAAAACGAGTAATCAAACTATGTCAAATGCTGCAGATAGGTTAAAAAAAAAAAGGGATAAAGAAATGGCCAGCCTTCAGTAACTTGGAGGTCTTAACTGTTGTAGTAAAACAGTGAGATAAAGTCTGATTGGACTGGACGTAAGAGAACTGAACACAACAAACATAGCTCTTTGCTAGTTTTGCGTCAAAGGGTAAACATATTGGCTTATAAAGGAACAGAGAGGAGCTGGAGAAGGATTTGTAGAGTCTTTTTTTATTTAGGTGAGACATACTGTGTGCTAATGGGATGATTCAATAGAAAGAAAATGGATGATACAGAAGAGAGGATGATACAGGAGTGACATCCTTGTCCAGGTCAGGGAGGATGGGTGCATGGGCTTGGAAGATGGTAGCTTAGCTGTGTGGTGGAAACATGTGAAAGGTCTCTTCTCAGTGCTTGTATTTTCTTACTGAAGTAGTATGGACTCTGAGTAAGGTGGGTGACGGAAGAGATGTTGGAGGCTGGGGAAAAGGGCAATGTAGATGTTGTCTTAGTTACAGAGTAAATGTAATATATTTGCTGGAAACCACCACCTCACCTGAGGTCAGTGGTTATGAATTTGGGTTTTTCTACACACGTTCAGTAAGTGATGTAGGCAGAGTCCAGTTAAGAGTTAAATGTAACCACAGTAGGGGGTTTACCAGGCGAACACAATGGGATAATGACAGCAGTGGAGTAAATTAAAATAACTGAAGCTGGGTGAGAAACTGAGATGAGAGGGGTTGAAGGACAGTGATTACGGTAGGAGAACCAGTGGATGGTAGGTGCTTGTGGTGTTTAGAACTGTGGTCTGGTGTTAGGAAAGTAGAGGTCAGAGTGGGATTCCCGGAATTGAGTTCATAGAGGGGAGCATTTATAATGGTAAGAGTTAGGATGTGTTCATGGTTGTGAATGGCTGAGGTTAGGAGAATGATTAAGATCTTTGGAGACAAGGTTACTGGAGAGGTCACCCACATGGCTAGTGAAGTCACTAGGAATTATGACAAAAGTAGTGTGGGGTGACCACAAGCCAGGTCTGTAATGAACAGCAACAAAATAGGGGTGGGAAGCAGGTAGTAGCAGAGAATAGCAGCACCAGCCTCCACAGATTTAGGGCTTTTAGGGAGGGACACTGTTGGAGGCAGGAAGTCTGGGGCAAAGTGGAACAGTTTGTACCATTGGGGAGGAAAGAGAGATGGAGGTCAGCCTAGTACAGTGGTCGGCAAACTCATTAGTCAACAGAGCCAAATATCAACAGTTACAACAATTGAAATTTCTTTTGAGAGCCAAATTCTTAAACTATAGAGGTAGGTACATTGTTATTAACTTAATTAGGGCACTCCTCAGGCTTAGGAAGAGCCACACTCAAGGGGTCAGAGAGCCGCATGTGGCTCGCGAGCTGCACCACTGGCCTAGGGGATGTATGTGAAGATGAAAATCTAGGTGATGAAGGATGATTGGAGGGCTTGAAGAGACAGTTCCTGCAGAGAAATGGGAGAGACTTGCCGGGAAACCCAGAGCTCCGGGGCGTGCGTGCTCCTCCATCCTTTCGGGAAGGCATGGCCTTAGACGCAGGAGCACAGCAGTGGCTCAAAGGTCCTAGTTCAAAGCTGTCCCCAGAGGAGCATTCTATGACAGCTCTTGGTGCACTTCCTCCACTTTCACATTGTTTTATTGGCTTTACAGTCAGTATCTGAAAATCTGGTGGATGTTTGTCCTCCTCCCTTTGCCCTCCCTGGGGGCTTGTGACTGGTTTTTAATCACCTGAAAACAGGTGCCTGGTGTATAGTAAGCATTTGTGAACGATTGCCTTGCAGTTATTGTAAAATATTCCTGTTGGCCCATATGTTCAACAAATATTTAGTGATTGCATCGGGTAACTTTCTATGATTAGGAATAGTGTGAACAGAACAAAAATTCCTATGCTCATAGAACTTAGTTGCTAGGGGTGTGGAACTCACAGCTCTGGGAGTTCTCTGGTGTATTTTGAAATACATATAGGGAAACAGCACACAGTAGATAGTGAAACTGAAATGGAGGCATATTTCAGTCACACCTTTATCTGCATCCTAGATATGAATTTCCCCAAGTCTAGCTTCCATTCTGAGTTAACTTCACCTGTTGCTAATTTAAAATGTTTCCTAACAGCCTATAGAACATCTGCATCTTCAAAATTTATCTGTGTTGTTGAAAGTATTACAGATGTCCCCTTTGATTTTTCCCATTGACCCCCTCCATTTCATACCTGCCCCTCCCAGGCATTCACCACTCTGTCGTCGGTGTCCATGGGTCATGCATACATGTTCCCTGGTTAATCACCCCACTCCTACCCCCTTTCCCCCACCTTCCCTCTGAAATTCGTCAGTCTGTCCCTGGTTTTATGTCTCAGGATCTATTTTGTTTGATTCCACACGAGTGAGATCATGATACTTATTTCTCTCTGACTGGCTTATTTCACTCAGCACAATACTCTCTAGGTCCCTCCTGGAGGGTAAAAGGTAAAGAGCCTTCTTTTTAACTGCTGCATAGTAATCCATTGTGTAACTATACCGAGGGTAAAAGGTAAAGAGCCTTCTTTTTAACTGCTGCATAGTAATCCATTGTGTAACTATACCACAGCTTTTTTATCCACTCATCTGCTGATGGGCACGTGGGCTGTTTACAAATATTAGCTATGAACCTCTGTGTTTTTAACAACAGAAATGCATTACAGGAGGAGTCAGGTTTGTGTCCCACTGTGTTGTCGTCATTCAGGTTCCCTCTGAGAATCAGTTTTGTTGTACCAGATTGTTAAATGGGACAATTTTATTTCTCCATTTTGCCTGGGAACTGATGATGTCGGCAAAGTGTGATCTTTGTATCACTTTTTCTCTCAGGTAGCAATTGTCGTATTAGGAAACAAGCTGGACCTTTCTGAGCAGAGACAAGTGGATGCTGAAGTGGCACAGCAATGGGCAAAAAGTGAGAAGGTGCGACTGTGGGAGGTAACAGTTACAGATCGGAAAACTCTGATTGAACCATTCACTCTCTTGGCCAGCAAACTTTCCCAGCCCCAGAGCAAGTCCAGCTTTCCTTTGCCTGGGAGGAAAAACAAAGGGAATTCTAGCTCTGAGAACTAAAAATCAGTGCCACAATTGTTTGTTGAATAGCGATTGTCCTTAAGTATCTGTGAACATATTTAAAATAGGCCATTTGTAGCTACTTTTGGTCTGGTAGAAATCCCTAAGGAAGCAATTTAATGCATGTAAGGCTATGATTAAATTATTTTGCTAAGCTTATTATTGCCTGATATGAAATAATACATTTGCATTTTGGTTGCTTGAAATTTGTCCCTGATATTAGCACCTTTGTTATTTATATATACACACCTATAAGTAGTGTCCCTCCCCCTTTAATGTTTCAAAAGCTATCATTCTGTATAACTTTATGCATTCTTAGCTCAAATATAACTTTGTTTCCAAAAAATTCACAAGTCATTTAATGCCTAGAATTACAAACTGTCATTTTTTGTGTGTCCAAATTGGATCAAACAGTAAACAATTTGAGTGCTAAGCTGAATTTTATCTAGAGATCTTGCTAAATAGAACAAACCCTGTGGTTTAGCTTTGTTCAAATTACACATTTAGCATGACTTGAGGTAGTGGGTGGTATAAATATATTCAAACTGTTTAGAAAATTGCTAGGCACGTAAGGATAATAAATCTTGTTTTCCACAAGGAATACTATACCTCCTGGAATAGTTTTATGGACGTGTAGTCATGTGGATAAAATGTATCATAAAAATACTGGACTACAGATAGTCTTCAAGTTGGATATCTGAATTTGTGCTAAGGTTCGCTGAAGATTTTTGGCAAGATCTGAGCAATAGAGCTCACTGTATTTAGCAAATTTCAATTTTGTTACTAATTTTAAAGGTAGGAAACAGGCTACTTAGTGGTTTTGATGTGAAAGCAGTTAACTATTTGATTTAAATATAAAACATGAAATAAGCTGTTCAGCAAAGAAATGTGAAAATAATAAGTGTTAACATCGTCAATGGAATGCTTTTAGATTAGGCTAGTGCTACCACTGCATAATTCTTTAAAATTTCTCATCACAAATACATTTTTTGGTCTAAAATTATTGCTCAGATAAGGTTGTCATTCCCTATCTGCTCTCCCACTTACAGCTTTTCCCCCTATGTATTTTACATAGGAAGATAAATACTTTTACAATTATTTTTAGATAATATACTAGATCATCTTGCAGCTTTGCTTTTTTCTACGGAACTTAGATCGATGCTGGAATGTTACCATCTTCCTTTTAAATGCTAAATGAATGTGTATGTACCTTCACTCCATGCACCTGGGTGAGTTTCTCTGGAGTAGATACAAATAGAATTGCCGCATCCAATAGATATGAACACTTAGGTGCTGTCAAATTGCCCTCTAATGTGGCTGCACTAGAGAACCCACTACTCATGTACTTGCCACCACAGCATCTGCAACTTGGAAATGCTTTTTAAAAGATGCATCTTTGAGTACATTTTTGAAAGGTGACAGGTTCAATTATCTAACCTTTTCTAAGACACCTCAAAATCTATCCTGCAAGGCGGTTGTATAAATTAGAGTTACATACCAATCCATTCAGTTTGCAATTACTTCTAGGTTGCTTTATAGCAAAGATCTGGTTTAAAAGAAAATGAATGCAGGGATGTTAGGTGGTTGTTTTAATATTGTTTATTAGCACAGTAACAAATGCAGACTTAAGTGGTCTGCAACATATAACCAATCCACTGAGCAACTCCTATTCCACGCCTTACAGTTAACAGCTTAAGGTATTTTACTACAGGTTTTCAAACCTCTAATCTTTTCACAATAAAGTAGAGCATATAAAATAAAATACATAACTACTCATTTCCTCAAAGTGTCTTATAAGCCACATGTCCATTTAAGATGAGATGACAATCTCTAAAAACTGTTAAATATCAATATTCCCTTCCAAGAAGGGAAAACAAGTTTCAATTTTTCTAAACAAAAAAGTATGCAGTCTGGAAGGACTTTCACAGAAATGGCCATGTGTGTAACCTGCCCAAAATTAAGCTGGCTTAAATTTACAGACTATAAACAACCGAATCCAAAGTCTATTCTTCTCTGTACTACATTTTAGCTTATATTGCAGAACTAATGACAATTTAAATGTTGCTATTACCAATTCTGTCTACTGTAGCAAGATACCTTAAGTTACAACAAAATCTTAGGAAATAAGACTGAATAATATCTGTTATAGAAATACCCTACTCTTTACCAACTCCCACCCTCCCCCACCCCTTCAAAATCATAAGCAGCTCTCTCTGTGACAGACAAATAATGTAAGAATTGTGAAAACCCAATTTATGTAGCGTATCTCTTGGTCCACTGTCTGGCCATTCTGTCATGTTCTGCTCTGTTGGTCATATACTGAGTGGCAATACTTCCCACCAATGGGTCGGCTGGAAGAAAAGAATGTAGATTACTTTGGAGAAAGGAAAAGAATATTTTAGGTCTTAGCAATTAAATTACTAGCAGCTTGGAAAGAAATGTACCAAGTACAAGTGATCAAATCCATCTTTGAAACACCACTCTATCATATTTTGGGTAGTTTAAAAAGCTACTCAACATATGGCAAAAAAATCGTTACCAAAATAGAATGATCTCTTTCGTTCATTCCATTCCTCTCCCAACAACCATGACCCAAACGGAGGGATTTTTTCCGTCATGTGTTAGGGTAAATTCAATAGAAACTGGAATGTACAAGGCCCCAGACTACAATGAACACCCAGCTGTGTTCACATGACCTTTCACTCACTCAGTGGCAGCAGTTATGACAATGAGTACTGTGTAGTCCACATGGCTGTTGCAATGTAGCACTATTTAACTCTACACTGTTACCCAGAAAGACCCTGGACGTTAAGTATAGTGTTTCTCTGAATCCTGAATAGAATCTTTAATAATTAATTGTTTATTTGCTTCCCCACCCCTAACATCACAGTCTGGTAGTCAATAAATGTGTGTAGCAAAGAAATAACACTTTCAAAAATGAACACTACCTCAGTAACCAGGTATAGAGTAAGTGCTCAGTAAACCGGCAGATGGCTCAACACTTAGAACTCTAATTTTTTTTTTTTAAAGAGAAATATGCAGGGTGGGGCAAAAGTAGATTTATAGTTGTGAGTACACGTAACAGTTCTTTATTAATTGTATTGCGGAATAAATAATCCCACAACTGTAAACCTACTTTTGCCCCACCCTGTATGAGGAAGAATAATGTCTTTAGTTTAAAACACCTTGTTCCTAGAACACATATCAACTAATGAAGTTGCTGCATTTTTCAACTAGATTGATTCAACTACTAGACTGAATTTCTCTTGATTAAAAATACCTATTTTTGTCCTTTGAAAGGTGTTAGAAAAATAAAAATTTTGGTTTATGTGAAAACAAGTGTTTTTCAGACAAGGAAGAATACAACAAGGTAAAGAATTATTAACCTTACCGGGATTACAGTCTGTAAGAAGTGAGCAGATAGAAAGGAGGACTTTAGAAATGGTTAGTGCTGGACTCCAATTATCTTTCAATATGTCCAAACAGATAACTCCTTGACTGTTAATATTACAGTGATAGATTCTTGTCCGAAATGTAACCTAAAAAAAAAAAAGATAGTGTTAAACAGAAAGCATCAAACAATGAAGCTTTTTACTAAATTACCTTTTACAAACCAGTTTTTTAAAAAGGTGAATAACACTAACTACAGCTGGTAAGAGATAGGTTAAGAAACTATTTGAGATTAAAAAGTGTTAGCCCTAGCCGGTTTGGCTCAATGGATAGAGGGTTGGCCTGCGGACTGAAGGGTGCCAGGTTCGATTCTGGCCAGGGGCACATGCCCGGGTTGCGGGCTTGATCCCCAGCGGGGGGCATGCGGGAGGCAGCCAATCAATGATTCTCTCTTATCATTGATGTTTCTATCTCTCCCCCCCCTCCCTTCCTCTCTGAAATCAATAAAGAAATTTTTAAAAAAGTATTCATTGTACAATCTCAGGGACTATCAATTTCATTTAAAAATATTCATCAACAAAAAGCAAGGTCATTTAAACATTTCTTGAATTCATCTTTAGCAGTTGTAATGTTGTAATTAATTCATAACATTTCCAAGTTTGAATAGCTAATTGCTTGCTGACCTCTTGTGTTAGCTGGTAGTACTACAAGGCCTCAAAGTAAGCTTTAGAATCATAAAGGCAATTAAACAATGATCACATATCCAAAAAGCTGTAATAAAATTAGGACATATTTGCTTGCCTTTTCTGACCTTTACATCAGATTCTGTAGATATCCTGTACAGAATTCACTATAATGGTATCGCCACAGGTGAGGAGACAGACATAAGCCACATGATCTTGGGCTCTTTTGTTTGGTCTAATTTTTGTTTGTGTAATACCCTGGAATCATTCCAAAGCTGAAATAACCTATAACCTGACTACTTATTTTTTACTGACAGACATTCAGTCACTTCTTGCTAAGAGTCTACCCCATCCCCAAAAAGAGGTTTTCCTTCTGGCAGTCTGAATGAGAATCGCAGATTGGTGACTGTCACAGGAGGAAGATGGTTTGGGCAGTCCTCCTGTCCTGGATGAGAAAGCTAAAGCCTAGAGGGAATGGATTTTAGCACCACCAAAAGATGACAAGGAACAGAATCTGAGGCTTTGGTAGGATATTCTGATTCGTATTTACTCAGTGCACAGACATTTTGACACGATTTTTAACTGTTCAGAAATTTTGAGCATAAAATAGGGGATTAATTGCTATGTCACTATAAATACAGTAGTCCCCCCGTTATCAGTGGTTTTGCTTTCCATGACTCCAGTTACCTATTGCCAACGGCAGTCCAAAAATATTAAAGGGAGAATTCCGAAATAATTCATGCTCCATTCTTAGTAGCGTGATGAAATCTCACACCGTCTCGCTTGGGATGTGAAGCATCCCTTTGCCTAGCAAATCCTCGGTGTATACGTCACCGCCCATAGCCATCAGGTGGGTTTTTCAGATCAGCTGTCAAGGTATTGTAGTGCTTGTTCAAGTAACCCTTTTTTACTTGCTGCTATATTCACCTGACTTTTATTACAGTGTGTTATATTGTTCTTTTTAAAAAAATATTTTTATTGACTTCAGAGAGGAGGGAGAGAGAGATAGAAACATCAATGATGAAAGGGAATCATTGAAAGGTTGCCTTCTGCAATTCCCGCCCTGGGGATCGAGCCCGCAACCCATGCATGTGCCCTTGGCCGGAATTGAACCCAGAATGCTCTATCCACTGAGCCAAACTGGCGAGGGCTATATTGTTCTTTTATTAGTAGTAGTTCTTTATCTCTTACTATGTCTAATTTATAAATTTGTCATAGATATATATGTTTAGGGGAAAAAACAGTACAGTTGACCCTTGACTATAGGTTTGAACTGTGTGGGTCCACTTATATGTGGATTTCCCCCCATAAGTACTATAAATATATTTTCCTTTCCTTATGATTTTTTTTAATATATATATTTTTTACATATTTTATTGATTTTTTACAGAGAGGAAGGGAGAGAGATAGAGAGTTAGAAACATCGATGAGAGAGAAACATCGATCAGCTGCCTCCTGCACATTTCCTACTGGGGATGTGCCCGCAACCCAGTACATGCCCTTGACCGGAAGCGAACCTGGGACCTTTTCAGTCCACAGGCCGACGCTCTATCCACTGAGCCAAACCGGTTTCGGCAATATATATATATATATTTTTTATATTGATTTTTTACAGAGAGGAAGGGAGAGGGATAGAGGGTTAAAAACATTGATGAGAGAGAAACATTGATCAGCTGTCTCCTGCACACCTCCTACTGGGGATGTGCCAACAACCAAGGTACATGCCCTTGACTGGAATCGAACCTGGGACCTTTCAGTCCGTAGGCCGACGCTCTATCCACTGAGCAAAACCGGTTAGCCCTTATGATTTTCTTAACATTTTCTTTAGTTTATTGTAAGAATACATTATGTAATATATATAAAACATACAAAATATGTGTTAATTGACTGTTCATTGATAAAGGTTCCAGTCAGCAATATGATATTTGTAGTTAAGTTCTGAGAGAGTCAAAAGTAACACGTGAATTTTCAACTGCACAGGGGGTCAGAACAACCTCCTCGCTGCTCAAGGGTCACCTGTATATGTAGACTTAGTACCATTCGTGGTTACCTCCGTGTTGCTCAAGGGGGGAGGGGGGTCAACTGTAGCGGGACCAAACAAAGCCCTTATTCCTAGAAATGGTCTCTGCCAAGTGAGGCAAAGTCAACCCAAAAGGAGTATTTTGTTTGCATTCAAATGTACTTAGAGATTCATTAAGTCAGCAATTTTCAACTGGTGTGCCACAAGAACTTTTAAAACATGCAATACCTATTGATATTAGGGGCACTGACCTCTTTTTCCTTAGATTGTTAAATTAAAAAATAACAACAGCCAACACAATAGCCATTTGGTGTGAATGAATCAAAATTATATCTATCTTGTCAGATCGTCAACAATATATAATTATTGGTGTGCCGCAGAATTTTAATTAGTTGTGTGCCACAAGATGAAAGGAGTTGAAAATCATTGCATTAAGGTGTAATACACAAATCTATTTTTTGTGTAATTAAAAACAATTTTAAAAGCTTCAATAATCTCTCGTGGGAATATGTAAATTTTAGTACAAATCAGAGGAATCTCTTACCTTCGGCGGCTTGAAGGGGTATTCTGGTGTAAAAGTGATATCAAGGAAGAATACACCACCCTCATACACAGATCCTGGAGGCCCTAGGATGGTTGATCTCCATTCATAGATGTTATCGCCTTTGGGACCAGCACTGAAAAGAATATATCAAAAGATAAGTAGATGGAGGCACTTCCCAATTTTCCCAGTGTATTAAGAAAGGAAAAAGATCCCCTCTCCTCTCCCTTTTTGTTTAAAGTGTGTAATCTCTCCACAAAACAGATGTACCTTTCAGATACAATCTGATGCAGGACTGCACCAAGCCCACCAGCCTTAGACCAAGTAAGTTGAGTAATAAACAAATGTTAAGCCCATTCTTAGCTTACTTAGCTGTGAATAAGCAGGAAACCTCAATTGTCAAGACCTCCCAACACATAAGAAAATGTAAACAATACTCCAAAAAAAGAGAAACACCTCTAAGCACAAAGAATTACAATAAATTAGTGACAAATTACAGCAGGTTGTTGCTCATAGCACATCATTTCTGACCCACTGATGGGGGTTCTTCCTTGCTCTTGCATCTCCATAATCTCACCCTAGGAGGAGTACAATAGTCTGCAGTACTTTTTACAATGTGAACCATATTGGGAGGGAGAAGGAAAACGATGACAAGTATCTAATTATAAGTTATTCAATTTTCATTTCAGTATATATTAAATTCCATAATCGGGTTCTCTAAATATTCTAGTTGGGACATTAATCTACCCGTTACCTGTTAAATCAGTGTAATTCACACTTAGTTATACCATCATTTGGCCACACTACCCTTCCAAGGCACTGTGTTGGCTCAAAGTGCTCTGTATTCAGAAGTACATCAATACAAATATTTTCCTTCCAACTCCAAGACCTATGAAAAGCTTAATAATCCACCCAAACAAGTTAAGTGTAGTGCTCTGATACTGAGAGAAGAGTTTGGGAAATGGTCTTAGTTATTAGTAAAATACCTTCTCACAGCACAGTGGTAACACAGGTAGTGATATACAGTGGTTAACTTATACATTTTCATCTCAGATTTCTCAACCCTAACTAGAGTAACAGCTGCTTTAAGGATAATGATCTATATCAGCCAAACTAAATGGTCTTTACTTGGAGAGACTTATATACCAGTCAATACATAGAATAATTTCTAAAAAAGCAGGCAAACTTGCTGTTTTAAATAAATGTCTAGTATTAATTGGATTCATTCACTCAAACACTTAACTGAATGACCATGTATTAGGCAGAGCGTTAAATGTTAGGGGTTTCAATAATGAACAAGACAAAAATGCCTTGTCTTCAAGATGCCCCTTATATCTAAGTGGTTAGACATAAGGTCCAATTCCTTCATTTAGAAGAAAGATGAGATGAAGAGGGAAGGGAGAGAGAAGACAAAAAACACCTGTCTACCTGTGGCCCTATACCAGTGATGGCAAACCTTTTGAGCTCGGCGTGTCAGCATTTTGAAAAACCCTAACTTAACTCTGGTGCCGTGTCACATATAGAAACTTTTTGATATTTGCAACCATAGTAAAACAAAGACTTATCTTTTTGATATTTATTTTATATATTTAAATGCCATTTAACAAAAAATATCAACCAAAAAAATGAGTTCATGTGTCAGAGGTGTCATAGGTTCGCCATCACTGCCCTATAACTATACTTTCCTCAAACCACCATTGATTTTTTTTCACTGAGAAGTGAACTAAATAGATGAAGACAATACTAACAGATTTTGCAGATATAAAGATGAACTGTCCTCTTTGGTCTAGTTCATGATTATCTAAGACTTAAAGGTAAAAGGCTACTTACTCTAAGCCCCCCTACCCTTTTTTGAGGAACCAATGCCATCTAAAACCCAGTACCGGCAGGTAGCATTCCAAGCTGCTACCTAAAACTCTTGCG